GGGGGCTGCCCCTGGGGGCTGGGAGTCGCTGCAAGCGCAGGGGCGCTGGCAGGGCGGACGGGGTGCCCCGGGGACTCTGGGCCACTCCTGCGTGAGCTTGGGGGATGCGCCCCGCACAAGAGCGAGCCCCCCACCCCTGCTGGACAGGTGCCTCCGGCTCCCGACTCCGGCCGCCTGGCACCAGAGTGGACAAGGCAGTGTCTGTCCCCGGGACCCGCCCGCCAGCCCCACAGAGAGCAGAGCGAGGGGCCCCCTCCCCGCCAGGGCCTGTGGAGCCCAGAGCCCGCCCCGCCCACGTCCGGTCCGGCTGCCCAGCCAGGGGGCAGCTCAGACCCGAGCCTTGGCATGTCCGGCTAGTGCCCGTCGGGTGGGGCAGGGCCAGGCGCCCCCTGTGCGGCCACCGTCCGGCCTGGGACATACCTGCAGCCAGAGGCCCGGGCAGGCCCAGCAGGACGCAGACCAGGGCCAGGGGCGCCATGGGGAAGCCGCAGGAGGACGGTCCAGGCGGCAGCGGGTAAAGTTCTCAGCCTGGGAGGCGGTGGGAGGGGCCGGCAGAGGTGGGCTGGGGGCGGACCCCAGTAGGCCCGCCCAGCGCGGCCAGCTAGACTTACTAGGGGCCCTCGGGGCCAGCCCGCAGGCAGAGTGGACACGGGAGGGCGCAGCCCAGATGGACTCGGAAGTGCCCAGGAAATTCACAGAGGACGGAGGCTTGCCTGTGCCCTGGGCCTGCTTCTCGGGGCTCAGAGTCTGACCACAGAGGGGCCCACCCAGGAGGCGGCGTCCAGCCAGGCAGGGGGCCCAGGAGGGGGATCTAGCCAGGCAGGGACCCAGGCAGGGGCCGCCCCAAGCAGAGGCCGGCCCTCCTCCGGCTGCAGCAGCTCCCAGCGCCTGGACAAGGGCGCCCCTGGGCCTCGGCCTGCTGCTGCGGACCTGCCCGACTCTGGACGCCATGTGGCAGCTTCCCGGCAGAGACCAGCCCCCCATTCCTTCGGGCCCCCACTCCCGGTGCGAGCGCCTGTCCCTGCCCCCGCGGCCCCAGGGCCAGCGGCTGACCTCGGGTCCCGCTGGCCCCTCCCCCCAGGGCCGTCCGGAGCGCGGCGGCCTTGCTTGCTGACCCGCTGTGGGGACAGAGTCCCCGGGCGGCGCGAGCGTCGCTGCTGGGCTGCGGCCAGCTGCACTCGGCCAGGGTCCTTACTGCAGCCGCAGGGACACTGGTCTGCAGGAAAGGCCGGCACCTGGCCAGTGCTGTGGTCCCCGTGTGGCTGCCCACGGCTGCCTCACGCCCCCCACAGCTGGCGCCATACAGCAGGGCCCCGCCAGCAAGCTCACAGGGCGCCACACCTCCCGGGTGCAGAGCCCCCGCGCCCCCACACTGTACTCCCCACGGGGCCCCACAGCGCAGCCCCCACCGTGCCTCCATCCAGCCCCCCACCGCGCCCCAGGAGCACGTGGCTGCGGGGCGCACAGGGGCCGCACGTCCGGCTCCCGCCCTCAGTCC